GATAAATGCAAAGTAATGCACTTTGGAATTAAAAATAAACAAATGGGTTATACAATTATGGGTATGCCGCTAGGGAAGTCAGAAATGGAGAAGGATTTGGGGGTCAGGGTCATTGTAGACCACAAACTGAAAGGTAGTTTGCAGTGCCAGGCTGCTGTAAACAAAGCTAGCAGGGTCTTGTCCTGTATTAAAAAGGGGATGTATTGCAGGTCTATAATTTTGCCACTTTATAGATCATTGGTTCGACCTCATCTGGAGTACGCGGTCCAGTTCTGGTCACCAGTACTAAGAAAAGATGTCCTTGAGTTGGAAAAAGTCCAGCGGAGGGCAACCAAACTAATTAGGGGTATGGAGGACCAGAGCTACGAGACAAGGCTACTAAATTTAAACATGTTCACATTGGAGGTGAGGAGATTGAGGGGGGATATGATCTCCATGTACAAAATGTTCAATGGTGGCAGCAACATTAGCGATAAACTGTTTAAAATTAACTCCATTACAAAAACTAGAGGCCACCACCTAAAATTGGTGGAAAAAAAATTCCAGCACAAGGGGCGAAGGGGGTTCTTCACAGTAAGATCAGTTAGGGTCTGGAACTCACTGCCACAGACAGTGATTTCAGCAAAGAATGTGGAATTGTTCAAGAAACTTTTGGAAGATTTCTTAAGGGACCGTAATATACAGGGGTACAGGTACTCCTAGAATGAGATCCTAATAGGTTGGACTTGATGGACTAATGTCTTTATTCAACCTCAAATACTATGTAACTATGTCTTATATTTTAACAATTCCCAAAAATAGTACTAGGTCTTATTTTCGGGGTAGGTCTTATTTTCAGGGAAACAGGGTATTTCTTTCTTTTATTCCCCATTCTTCTCCCAGTGGCCATTGTCAAAAAGGGCAGATTACTATATCACATTTTACTTCCTGGAACTCTGGGTCTACCTCCTGAAACATGTGACATCTGAGGGGGAAAATTGCCTTTCCCTCAAGATTTTGCAGTTTACAAATGAGATTTCCTAGGAAGGCAACGGTGATGCATCCTTCCCAGGATACATCTGTGAGGCCAGGGCTACACCACCAGTGCCTCACTCAACCAGGAATTTGGAAAAACAGCAATTGTGAATGAATGGAAGATGATTTCATATCGGGATGTAGAGCTGTATGCTGATGTGAATTTTAGCGAAAGGGGTGAAGGTCCACTTAACCACTTGAAAACCAGGTGTTTAGACCCCCTTACTGGCCAGGCCATTTTTCAGTGTTCAGCGCTGCAGTACTTTGACTGACATTTATTCCATCATGCAACGCTGTACTGAAATGAATTTTATACCATTTTTTGGGGACAGATAGAGCTTTCTTTTGGTGGTATTTAATCACCACTGGGAGTTTTATTTTTTACTATATTCAGGAGAAATTACTGAAAATTTGTTTTTTTTACATTATGTTATAAAACAACTAATATTACCCACTTTTTAGGTAAAATATAAAAGACGGGGTGACGTCGGGTAAATAGACACCAAACATGTTTAGCTTAAAAATTGCGTGCACTCGCAAGTACGGGGCATCGCTGCCTCTTTTCAAATAGCAGGGATTTCCCACTCGCGCGCGCCACGGATGTGGCGGATGTAACATAACATGTATACACACCCAGTTACATCCAAGAAGCTCCCGGCCGGCCGTGTATACAAAGCGGCTGGCCGGGAGGTAGTTAAAGAGAACCTGACATCTTCAGAAATGCTAGTTGCCTGGCTGTCTACCTAATATTAGGAGTTTAATCATTTGATTCACTTACATAAAACAAGTATAGAAACAAGAAATTCACACATTTGTGTGCTTGATGGTTGTGCTAGGAATTTTAATCAGAAATATTAATGGCAGACAAAAACAAGCGAACGTGTCATTGTGATCGATAATGATTCTACATCTCTGGAAGACGTGAATGACGTTAGATTTACATATCTGGTATACACTTCCCTGGGAAAAGGGGGGAGGGGGCACAGAATATCCTGGGGTTGCCTTATTCTAAATGGCACTTTAAAATTCTTATTAGTCACACACACACACACTTTAAAATTCCAAAACTGGAGCAGACAATCTGGAGCAGCTGTGCACGGCAGCCAACCAGCTTCTACCTTTCATTTTTAAATCTTAACTGAACAAACTGAAGAGAGAGGCTGATCAGTTGGCATGGGCAACTGCTCCAGGTTTGTCTGCTCCAGTTTCGATAAATTCCCCTCAATGTCTATTGCGGGACAGGCTGAGGCAAAGAAGCTGCCCTCCCTTGCCAAGCCCCCTATGCTACATGTCTGGTTTGAATCCTAAGGGGAACCCTATGCTGTTTATTCCTTTTTATTATGTTTTATTATTTTTTTTTAAATGTCTTTTTAAAGAACTAAAAATTGTACTGTTCTGTAACTTCACATGCATCCTTGGCCTGGTTCACACTAAGCGTTTTGTTGCAGTTGAATAAGCGCAACATAATCGCTTAAAAAAAAATCCCATTCATTCTTGTGGCCCTTGTTCATACATGAGAGTTTTGTCGCAAGCAAAATGCCTGTCGCTGGAAAAAGTGCATGAGCTTCTTTTTGGCAGATTACAGCTCGTTTTTTCCCCATAGTGTCAATAGGAATCGCTTGGCAACACACATTGCAATTGGTTTTGCGCATTTTGCCCATTGAAATCAACGTGTCACAATCTACTCATAAAAACACAACTTACTGCCCGTGCGGTTCACACGTGTAAACGTGCAGCCAAAAATGCACATTTCTATGCGCGAAAATGTTGTCGCCTATGTGTGATTCAGGACTTAAAAAGACACCCCAAGCATGTTATTTAAATGCATAGTCCACTTTAAAAAAAAAATGTAATAAATGCACAAAGACATTAATGTAAGAAAAAAATGTGCAATTATTATTTGTTTGCATTGGAACACCAATCAGTGGATTGTAGATGCAATGCACAGGCTCCTGCAGACTATTCACCCAGCTCCTACTACAAGCATTCTATGAGCCTGACCTGCTGGCCTGGCAAGCCAATCACCTCTTCATGTGTTGAGGCTAGTCTGGCTTGACATGACTTTCGAAGTAGTAGTGAACATTCTTATTTCCCATTAGTAGCTACATTGGCTCACATATGTCCCAGTGTGTTGAATGCTAAAATACCTTTCAAAAAACACTTACTGCTAAATACCTGACATTCATAGAAATTCATGCTAATCTGTGTGGTCATTGCTTGTCCCACACACCATGCTAAGCATTTCAAACTCTGTAACACAGCACAGGATTTCGCTCAGTATATATCCCACCTAATATGAGCTCAAAACAAGCCTGGGAATGCTATTTAATAAAAGCATCTGTGCCAAAACACCAGAAGGGTAAAGTGAAGAATGTTCCAGCACTATTTAATAACAAAGACGCAAGTTTATAAAAATACAAAAGTATCACATGAACAATACATATCTACTGCCAAGAATATCTATATTACTACCAAAACATCACGATAACGTTGGGGAAAAAAAAAAATCAGTATCTGAAGAGCTAATCTAAGTGAAACCTTTATATATCAAAAATGGGGGCGGGGGGGGGGGTTGGAAGGCTCCAGATTTCGGTAAGATCAGTTTGCTTAAAATTTCTAATTTCTCAATGTAAAAAAAAATATTGACAATATGTTAAAGTCCAGTTGAGCTTTTGATTTGAATTCAAGCAATGAAGTCAGGCTGATAAAAAAGTTAAGTATTTGGGTTTTTGGACACGGGCGCCACCTCCCGTACTCCGTAAATGCTGGCTTATACCCTTTGCCAGAGAGCCCCAGGTGCAGCATACAGTCTCACACTAAAGTCAAAGGCTGTACATGCCAAAGTTGCGTGGATGTAAAATTGTCTGTGCGCATGTGTAGATTTACGCAGTGCCATCTGGAGGCTTTGTGCCACCAGATATACGTTGACTTTTACTGACTTGATTGGCATATTACACAGGGGACATGTAGGAACACTGGAGATCCATACCTCTGCACTTGACAAGAGTGCAATGGTCCTGATCTCCAGCACCCTTGCTGCCAACACAGGGGAGTCTGGCATTGAGCATTCTGTACTAGAACATTACAAAAAATACACATATACTTTACTTTTTCAGCTGCCTTATTTCACCGAACAAATGCAATTCAAAGGTTCAATTAGGCTGTAAGTTCTGTTTTGCAGTTTTACTATTTTATTTTATAATACAATTGCTTTTTTTGTTATAAAACCTTTTAATAAACACTATAAATTAGGGCTGCAACCAACTAATCGATAATCATCAGTAATGAGAATTATCGTCAACAACGCTCCTTATCGATTTGTTGGTCTAAGTTCCCTAGTTCTCTTCTCCACGCTGGGAGCCAGTGTTTCGTAGGCTCTGTGTCCCATCCAATCCCCGTTGCTCCCTGCAGGGATCGGAGAGGACACAGACCCCTGCAGCTGGTGCCCAGAGGTGAGGAGTGCTCCACCAAACCTCACCAACCCCCACCCCCAAAAAAATATATGTGAAACATTTGCTCATCGTTCCCTGTAATATTCAAGCATCGCCGTGATCAGTACTGATCACTACGTTGTTTGGAAATAACTGAAGACATAGTATTCAGATACTGTGTCCCCCAATTATGAATGAACAGGAAGTGCTCTACATCACTTCCTGTTCATTCATCATTGTTGGCATAGTATCGGTTTACTATCTCCTCGATTTATGAATAAACAAAAAGCCTCTGTAATGAGTGCTTCCTGCTGCTGCTGGGGCAGCTCTATGTCCTCACTCTCGTTTTTATTTCAAAAGCGAAATATCAGGGGTCTGTTTAGACCCCAGATATTTCACCAAAGCCCCTAACAAAACTTAAAAATAATAAAATTAAACATTTTTAAAAAAATTGTAAAAAAAAAGGTACAAAAAAAAAATAATAAAAAAAGCTGCCCTCCCCAAATTATTTTAAAGAAATAAATATTCAAAAAATGGGGAAAAAAAGTAATTTTGGTTTCGACGTGACAAATTCTGTTGATTTGATATAAGCTTCACTAGTAAGATCCCAGGAAAAAGTAAATTACCACACAATATGTCAAATGCCAAGGCACTCCAGCACTCTGGGACTGATTGGTGAAAGAACTGTTGCCAACAGCAAAAAAATTAAGTTTGAATAGAAAAACTGGTGGCTATAAACAATAGCTGTTCCTTTGCTTCTTATAAAATGTTAGCATTGAAAATAAACTTTAGCTCTACAGTCCTAAGTACCTGGCTAGCAAATATTTCTTCTTGGGTTTCTTTCCACATTTCCAGTTCCAGAGCAGCATTGTACGCAAGAGTCTCATGGGGTTCTGCTGAAGGTTCTGGTGGAGGCTGTACTGGAGGAGGATTCTGAACGGCTGAGCTCTAAAGATTGAACACAGGTTATCAAATATTAACCAATAATTACCAGGAAGTAATGGAACAATATGCGAGTCAAAAAAGTACATTTTGGCTTTTTATGAACAAATACCTGTGATGACTCTGAGACGACCACCTCTCGTACCCTCACAAGCCCATAATCCTCTAAGGTTAATGCATATGAAAGATCAGCTACTTTACCTTTGGATCTGAAATAAGAATAAATATTACCACAATATATGAATCACACAAAATTGTATAGAAAACAAGAACTATATTTTCTAAACCAAAGTAAACACTAGATACTTCAGTGAAAGCTGTACTAAGAAAAATATGGAGGTTACCATTGCTGACCATCTTCTCAAGGTTTTGAAAAAGCTTGCCTGTATCAGACTCCAATATTTTCTCAGTCACTGACCGCAAAGAATTATGCAGATTACAAGAGTTAGAGTAAGGTCATATTTTTCCTTGGCATTGGTGTCAGTGAGATAATAAAAGACCCACCCTCTTCCTGGCATTGGTTTCAGGGGGACTTATAAAAGATCCCTAGGGACTGGTGTTCCATAGGACTTGCCTTCTTGTAGACTCTGTGTCCTATGCTGCTCCTAACTCCACCTATAGTACGTGCAATACATCAACAGGTGCTAGGACTCACCATGTCTGGCACCTGATGCCATTCTGCACAGTGGCTCCCCTGGTGTGCAATGAGAAAGCCCAGTCTACATCAGCTTAGGAGACTGTTTAAATAGAGTAAATTAGCTATGGCAGCTAGCTAAGGCTCCTTTGTGAGATTTGTGAGACTCTTCATCAGACAGAGCCTCAGCCTACAGCTAAACGTATGTGTGACCATATCCAATCTTTGGTCCAGCAGGATGCAGGTATGGCCTCCAAAGCTATTGCTGGGGATATGCCAAACCAGATATCTGCATAAAAGGTCCCAAGTGAAGGAAAAACATAATCAACAAGAAGAGAAAAGGACTAGTAAAAATGGTAGAGAGTAGAGAAAAAAGACTTCCATCCTCCTAGGGCTCTAGGAGCAAACTGAAGCATGATGGTAGAGGGAGGGGTTATAGTTGGCTGGTCAGTGGCTTTTCTGTTTGCCAGTGTCCAATTCGTTCTGAAGGTTGGTTTACACCATGTCTGGATCATGTCCAGACCAGAACAGTTTGTTCCCGGACCAGAAAAGCATCTCAATGTATCCTTGTGGCATTTCTGGGCTCTGTTCACAGCAACGCAGTCCGGAACGGACCAAACAAAAATAAAATACCGCAGGTGTCATTTTTCTCTGGTCCGGAATGCATGGAAACGCACTGGACTGTATCAGACATTTACAACTACTTTTAGGCTATGTTCACACCATGTCCGGACCAGACCTGGAGCGGATCTGCAAACGCAGTGCGTTTTTGCCGCATTTTTTTAGCTTAGAATGGGCTTCTAGGTGCAGTCCAGTGCTTGAATGCATATTTATGCGAATTGTGATTACATGCTTTTTGGTGCATTCCGGACCAAAAAAAAAAATAGTGCATTTTATTTTACCCACACCGGAAACGGACTGCACTGGTGCGGACAGAGGCCGAACATACCATGGGAATACATTTCAGGTACGGACAAAAAACAAACAAACAATCTGTCCGGATCTGGTCCAGACATGGTGTGAACAAGCCCTTATCCTCCATAATGCGGCTCTGTATCTGGATATAAACAGTAAATCTTGTTTCCTTACACAGTGCAGCCTCATAAAGAAATATACCATACTGCTAAGGTTAGAAAAACTGCTTTCCTTTATAGACAGCACTGCATATACACTGATCACAGATTAAAGAAACCTGAATAAACTGTATAAGGACATGTGTGACTATAGAGTCTGAATGAGCAATCATGCACGGTAATTTCCTTTCAAATAGCCCCATCTACTGGTAGTAAGTGTTATAACTCCTTTGGGGGAATTTATAGTGTTCATACAAGGGACTAGACAGGGTAGCAACATGGAAGCTGCCTTTGCTAACTTATTTCTGCAGGTTCAAACTCTGGGGCTGTCCTCCTTATCCTTTCTTTTTTATCCACCGATTTGTAGGCATGGAACAAGCATTTGCATAGCAGGAGTCAGGACCCGATACAGACATCTTTGTTCTATAAGTAACTTACTTTGCAGTAGGGATGTAAAGATACCAAGTACTGTACTTGGTACAAGTACTGACACCTATCCAGCTCTAAGACTTAGACTAGAGAATAACTCAAAAGTTAGGAGGCAGCTGTCATTTTTAAGGAGCATTGGCTATGGGGCTCCTGGGATTTGGGCATCCCTGTTTCTAATGTACGATTTGTTTACACACACACACACACACACACACACACACACATCATTTTTTTATACACACACACACCCATTTTTCCAGACCAAGTACAAGTACTGATACTCGTCCAAGTACTCGTAGATACAAAGATACAAGTATTGATACATTTTTGTTTATTGTCATGTGACAGTTTTTTTTTAAAACAATACAAATTAATGATTTCAGGACAGCTGCAACCCCAGTCCAGTCACAGCTGCAAACCCTGCAACCCTGGTAATTCTCATGGAAATGCCAAGTATCGGCACTGGTATCTGAACATCCGTACTTTGCAGTGAAGCAAAATCGGAACTTTAGAGAGGTCAGCAATGGCAGCTCCCATATTGCTATTCCAAAATCCCTTAAAAATTTTAGATATACATAATATAAGTTTGATGTAAATCTTACCAGTGTTTTAAAACAATGTTTGAATGTTTTTATATATACACATTATGGACAAATCTAGAAGTAAATATGCATCAGTTTCATATGTGCGCGTTCTGTTCCACAATGCTGCAGAGTGGCTGCACTTTACTTCTTCTCTCTATAAGTACAAACCTACTAGTCTGTTTAGAGTGACTGCACACAGACCACAACATGGTTAGAGCTAGTTCTATTTGTGTACAGTTAGCATTCCAAAATGAATGAATGCATATTGTGCGTTCAGACTCCAATGCAATCTAACTAGATATGGGCAAGAAAAGAAGTAGAACACAGCGTAATCAATGTTCTGCATTACGGTTAATGTTTTCAAGGGACTCTGTACTAGCTACATCCTAAAAGTAACAAATAAGTGGAACAGAAAGCATCAGAAGGTGCCTTGCTTTTACCTTTACTGTGATCCCATGCTGCCCTAATCAGCCCCTGAAACCCTTTTATTTGGAACACGCGATACTTCACCCCGCCTCCAACAAGGCAGTGCTTAGTGAGTGAGCAGCGAACTGCCAGGCCCGAGTACTTTCATGTTGGGATCCGGGGGGTGAGTCGGGTTGCTTAGCGCCACATTCCCACCCATGCACCTTCATAAAACTAAGTGCAAAGGATTGCTGGGTGTCTCCAGTAATGGACCACGTGCCAAAGAACAGGCTGTTGTCTACTATACGACTTAAGTGTTACAATTATTTTGTATTCACTATGGAGTCAGTTTAATGCTGTAGTTTCTTTTCAGGATACCAAAACACAAAACCAGGCAGCATAGAAGTGAAAAAACTGAGCAGGAAAACTACAAATTGCCTTACCCTTCTACAGCCATAACAGGAACCATTTCACTAAATGTCTGTCTCCAACACTGGTCCCCATGGGGTCCTAAAAAACATGTCTTCTCCGAGGTCAAAACATTTGACAGCTGAAGTCTTGCCACTCCAAGTAGAAGGTCCTTGGCAAGTCTATCTTTGTGCCAAACTTCAACCAGAAGAGGCAACCTGTAAAAAAATATGTTCAGTTTTACAGAAGAAAGCTCGTATTTTTAAACACAAATTAAACATTATAATTAGTAAAAGCCTCCGGGATAAACTACTTTCAGATAAAAAGACTAAAGAGATATCTACTGGTCTACTGCAGAGAAATGTGAACTGAGTTGCTGGATGATGCTCACAAGTCAGCCTATATACTTATCCTCAGCTTTGGTTTTTAGTGATGGTTAATGAAGCAAAGAAAGCTTACAAAAAGGTATACTTGTAAGGTTTACCCTCTACAACAGGGGTGGGGAACCTTCGGCCCTCCAGCAGTGGTAAAACTACAAATCCCATAATGCATCGGTCTCTGGGAGTCATGCCTGTGGCTGAAAGAACCTTGCAAAGCCTCATGTGATTTGTAGCTTCACCACAGCTGGAGGGCTGGAGGTTCCCCAACACTGCTCTACAATGAGGGTGTACATTGGGTGTTGATACTTAGCCTTTTGAATTACAAATTATTGGGTAAAGAAAAAGGAAGCTGGGAGAACAAATATGGGGTTTTCCCACTGTCAACATATTTTTAAAGAGGCAAGTTTCAGGGCTCCAATTAGGATCCTGGCCTTTCTACCCAGTAAGTCTCTAACTCGGAGCAAACATGCAGTCAATAAAATCTAAAAAGCCTGACCAACAATCCTGCACACTTCTTCCGGGTGACTCACTAAGAAGTCTCACAATAAAACAAGACAACAATGGCAGCACCCATATAGTGAAGCTGATTTACTAAAGGATTTGAGAATGTTTATACAATAAATTGTGTGAATTCTCACTTAATACAATCATGTCCAAATAGATAAGAAATAAGTAAACAGGGATTTTCTTTTTACATGATTAGATAATTGAAGTGAATTTTTACACAACTCAATGTGTGAACATTCTAAGATTCTTTAGTAAATCAGACTGACCATAACTAACCTTACAAGATTCCTTTGGGTATTTTCTACTGTTCTGCATAAACCTATCCTGGAGGACCTCAATACAAGAAGGGTCTCCAAAACGGGAAGCCCTTGGATTTTTCCATGGGAACAACAAAAGGCTGTATTTTGTTATGTTCACTTGTGTCCTCCGTTAAATCAGATAAATAAACAGTTGAGTAGATGAAAACAAATGTGCCTAGAAGTCATTAACCAAGGCATGATAGCATTATGCCCACAAAGGAATTTGCAGAAGAGGAGCAAGGATGCAAGAAAGGCAAATTGCCAGAATTTAATAAGACGACTCGGCGTATAAGACGACCCCCTACTTTTTGTGTTAAAATATAGATTTTGGGCTATACTCGTCGTATAAGACGAGTATAGCCCAAAATAATGTTTAAATGCATCCACTAACATCTATGGCGGTATTCCTGAGTGTGGCTCAGGATTAATTTTCAGTACCATAAGCGGTAACCCCGAGCCACACTCGGGATTACAGTCTCTTACCTTGGCCACGATCCCCGCTGTGTCCTTCCGCTGAGTCAATCACGGCAGGCTTTGTATTCATTAATACAAAGCCTGCCGTGATTGGCTCAGCGCGGTATACTGTATGTAGCCGAAGCTACATACAGTATACCGTATCCTTCCATATGTACCCAGCGTATAAGACGACCCCCGATTTTCGGGGGATGTTTTAAGGTCTCAAAACCCCTCTTATACGCCGGCAAATACTGTATATGCACTAGAACAGAGGTAGGCAACCTTGGCTCTTCAGTTGTGCTGAAACTGCAAATCCCATCATGCTTCTGCCTCTGGGAGTCATGCCTGTGGCTTGCAATGCCTTATGGGATTTGTAGTTTCAGCACAGCTGGAGAGCCAAGGTTGCCTACCCCTGCACTAGAAGGTAAAAGGTAAGACCTAATGGGAGCAAAAGCACAGTGACATTTTTGTATAAGCAGGAAGTTGCACACCGATGACGTCAGTATCATCTAGCTTTACTAATCACAAACATGAGACACTGCAGCACCACAAAGGATTGCCCTGTGAAAGGAGCGGTTCTAGGCGGGGCTGCAGGATACAATATCTGTGTTTAAAAAAGCTGGAAGATACTGACCTCATCTGGAGTTGTGGAACGCGGCAGGGCTTTATTTTTGGTTGCACCGGGATCTCCAGGGGCAGGGGATTTGTGAGCTTGGAGCTGTGGTGTTTTTTCATATTTCTATTTCAGTACAAATAAGTTGACAAATTAGTGCACAATAAAGAAAATACATTATTCCCACTTAGGGGCCCAATCTATTTTATGAACAGCAAGGAACTTTTGACTGTCTAAGCCAAAGCTGTGTCAGTAAAATTAAAGAACTGTGGTGGGTGGTGGGTGGTGGGTGGTGGTGGATGTGGTGGTGGTGGTGGTGGTGGTGGTATCGGGCATGTAAAAATAACACACAGACTTAATTTGTGAGGCATGTTTGTAATTTCAAATTTACTAGTGTTTAAATATTGGTTGCAAATGTTGTTATTTATCACAATAACATTAGGAATATTATTCTCGTTATAAGAATCATAAATGCAAACAAAATTCATTACCTTAAAAATGTCTCCTGAAGTTGATGTGGCATGGTTGCTAAATCGAAAGCACAGTAAGACTGAGGAAGAAAAACTTCCATATTCCTATGCACTTCCACTGGAGGATTAGTCATAATAGGGGCTGCACCCCCAAAAAATGGATACGAATACCTGGATAGAAGAAAACAAAATAAGCGAGGGTGAAGATAAAAACAAACAATAAGCTCACTTTTTCTTAACATTGGCTATGACCTGGAAATTACTAAGATTAAAACTGAAGTCCAGGTACATATATTTATGTATATTTGTATTGGTTCTTATGCATATTTTACACATAGTAAGGCCACAGGGATCCTGTAAAATACCGTAGTAGCTGGAGCCATTACAGCAATATTCTGTGTGTTGCTGTGCTGAGCAACTTCCCCATAGCTGCTAAAATACAGAGGGTCACTCGCTTGGCACGGCAGCCTTTCAGAGAACACCTAGTAATTTTTTTATCAGAAAACGTCTAGTACTCATGAAAAAAAAAATACTAGGCGTTCCTAGCCGCTGCGCCAGGCAAGTGCCCCTGTTTGCTTTCACAGCACTGCACTAGCTCTGGTTAGTATAGATGTTTAACAGGATCCCCCGTGGCCTTACCAGGTATGAAATAGTTATAGTTACATTGGGCCAAACAGGACCAATGTAAGTATACATAATTAATTATACCTGGAGTTCAGCTTTAAAAACGTAACAAAGATTTTTTTTTTTTTTGGATAAAATAAGCAAGGGTTGCTGACATATGCTAGTTTGCTATACAAAACTAAAAAAAAAACCCCACACAACAAGCTTGGCTTTAGATAGACTTTAATACCCAATATATCTGGCCTGACTGTGATGAATAGTCATTATTGGGATGTTCTCTCATGTGGTGTTCACATTTCCAACAATAAGCTGGATTTATACAGCACGCAGGTAAAGTGCAGCAGGGCACCTAAATGAGTACCAAGTCTGATCAGCAAGTCTCCTTTGGTATTTAGAACAAAAGTGACAGAATCCAAAATTAAAAAGTGACAGAGATGCAGAGACACAGAGATGTGAGAATTAGAATTAGTGTAAATTAAGGGAAACATACATTGAGGAAAAATGGAGGCTGCTGATGTTGACTTCTTCTGAAAATAATATCTCCTTTGCGGTCATGCTCATTCACCTGCATCAACACTTTAAATAATTAATTTAGCACAATTATGTGGATTAGAAGCCCTGACTTTCTAAACTGCAAACATATTCTGGGCTTAGATCTTATAAAGTACTAACGTCATTGAGAGCATTTTCACAAAAAGGTCAGCAATGGCAGCCCCCATATTTCAATCAGCACAGGTTTCCTTTTAGCTGCTCATTGTAGGAAGATACAATAAGGAAGAGTTAGAACCTTAGTATGCAGTTTATAGGGAACCCAACATCAACATTATGGATACTTCTGAGGTCAACGGAGAAGTGGAAATGGTGTGCCGCAGGTGGCACTGCTATTTTCTGTTGAGAAGTAGACTCCGATAGACTCCGCACAGCCTCTGGAGCGCTCAGTGGTAGAGATGGTGGGGGCTGAACACCTGAGATCAGAAAACAGAAGCCGGTAATACTCACATAAAACAATCATTCAAAAGCATTCAACAAAAAAAGTCATTTTATCTGTTTTGCAAAAACAGAGGATGGAAAACTGAATCCTATATTTTTTTTTGTCTCTCTAGCTCTACTGAGCATTTGCAGTAAAAAAGGTTCTATCATAAGCTCAGTTTCGATTGCTTTACTTTTACATTCCATCTTGCCAAGGCGACAATGACATAAAAACCTTTTTTCTTGGAGCCTCTTGGGATATCCACTTCACATATCCCAGGAGACATTAGCTTTTATACAGTAGGCTGGAGGAGGGAGGACCTGGCGCCATGTCATCAGGGGGCCGTTTGCAAGATCCAGGAAGAAACAGCTGGCTTTCAAAGATCTAAGCCAGAAAGATGGCGTGCGGTAGCAGATCAGCAGATTACTGCAGCAGATTACAGCAGAACAATGCTGAATATGCGGATTGTGCAAGTACTGCATGTTAATGGAGGATAGAAGGTGAGACAAAGAAACAAAACACGGGGGGGACACAGGGGGTGATGTTCTTGTTTAAGTACTGACTCTTCATTAAACTGGCTTGGTAACATACAAAATGGAGTGAATCCTTTCTGAAGACTAGAGCTAGGGACAGAATGAACACTGGTGGTGGAAGAATGTCCATCTCCCCTCTTCAGCACTTCAGCATGTAGAAGGGAGAAAACAATGCCAGATGGATGAGAGGAAGTAAAGTCTTATAATGTCAAAAAGAATTGTTTTATACTATAATTATGCAGTTTTAGAACAACTTAAAGTGACACTAATCTCAGGAATTAAATCTTAAAAGTACATTTAATCAAGTACCTCAGCTATCAACATACATGTATCTTATTTGTGTATCACTCGGCTGTAGATCCTCACATCATCCGTGAATTTATGCCGACACTGTCCTTCCTTCTGGAGGGTGGCTACTTTGGTTCCTCATGGTCCCTGTGTGTGTTGTAAAGTAGTCACCGCTCCAAGCTCGCTCCCGTGATGGACTACAATCTCAATACAAATTAGTAAAGTAAACATGAGATACACCGCTCCAAGCTCACTCCATCATGGGAGTGAGCTTGGAGCGGTGACTACTTTACAACACACAGAGACCATGAATTCACAGATGATTTGAGGATCTACAGCTAAGTGATACACAAATTAGCTACATTTATGTTAATAGTTAAGGCACTTGAATGCATTTTTAACATTTATTTCCTGAGTCTAGTGTCACTTTGAGCAGTGTTGGCATGACGTATGCAGGGTTGTCACTTTAAATGTGACATGTAATGTTATTACTCGGCTAATGAAAACTGTGCAGTAAAGGAATCCTCTACTGAAGGCTGTTATTGCCAACCTTCTGAAAATGCATGCGATGCCTGATCACATGAACAAGTCACATGATCTGGAACAAGTGAAGCCAGATAGGACAATGACTCAGAAGGTACTGAAACCTCTTCATCAATCTGACAGCCAGAAAACGAGCATTTTCAACAAAAAAGATCTGCAACTGCAGCATCTTTATACCTCTCAGTAAAGTTTTGCTTTAAATCATGACAAGTAAAGCAATAATTTCGAATTAAAATGAAATATAAAGACCCTGTAATTATTACATGAGGCACAGACACTCAAGGAATATGCTATAATCAGAATCAATTACCTGGAAGAGGGATTTCATTTGGTCCTGCAGAGTCTGGCCTGGTGTGCGGCCGAGAAGAAGCGTATTCTGCTTGCACAGACTTTAAGCTTTCCACATCACTGTCTGTGTCTTCATCCTTGGTTGGAGGGGAATCACTAACTATTGGAGGCTGAGATACCATTTCTTTCACATTCCTCTGTGGAGAAGATGGATCTTTCCTTGACACCACACTCTCACTCATTTCTTTAGAACGGTGTGAAGACTAAGCAACAAAGAACATGGATATATTTAAAACATGGAGAACAGCATTAATTTTTCAAGTTAGTGGTTAAAGCCAGTTACCTGTAGGCTGGCCTCCTTATGGAGAGCTATGGATACCCCAATTGTTGGCGAGCTTTCCACTGGCACAGCTAAGATATTCTGCTTGGACCTGTTAGGTGGGGTGAGGATGAAAGCGCCTTCAACAACCACTGGGTGATGCTCTATTTCTGTGCTGGCCTTCTTTAGCAGTCCTGTCAAAGGAATGTCTGTACTGCCAAGAGACTGGTCACCACAACATAGATGAATCTTAGGGGAAAAACAAAACCAAGAGGAAAATGTTAAACTATATTACAGTTGAACTGCAGACTTTTTAAAAAGGCAGACGGTACTGCCACTCACCCCGTCCAGGTAAACTGTCACCAGAATAACATTAAGGGGAAATCTTCCAAATACAAACATTAGTAAAAGTATAATGATTTAAGCCTTGTCCATTCTATCAAATCTGTTACTGGTGGTACCGGATTTAAAATGAGGATAACCATTATGGTGGCTATAATGCATAGTTCACTTCTGTTATGATGCCTTGCAATCATAAGAAGCCAGTGTTCTGATGACTGTAGTGCATTGCAGGCTTAACGTGCTGGAGGCTTCCATGCTATATAATTGTATGGCTAGTATGCGTAGGGATTAGCTGTCATTAACAACCAAAAATTTCCACTTGGCACTCCAGAATGCACTATTTTTTTTTGTAAACTGTTTCTTAATGAGACACAAACATTTAAAATAAGCTCCATTAAAAGCACAACCCACACGAACTCTGATGAGTTTCACTAAGACTATTGACTCCAGTTGTTGTAATAGTGGCTTATCCACTATTCTGAGACCTCTATGTCTGGCCTGAAGGAGCAAAGACAATCACCACAGACAATCTTCATCAGATAGATAAACTTTCCAAGCACCTTCACTTGTCCCCTTCAGGTTCCAGGGGAACACTCTGAGTTTCATGCATGCACAACTAATTTTTGTGTTGTCAGGTTTGCCACATGAGCACATTTGAATATCCAGAACAGGACAGATGCCTGCATCATTGTGGGTTGTTTAGCATGTGTATGATTTGTTAATGAAAAAGTGAAGAAAGCAGCAGTATACATGACAAACAGGCTTCCACATGGTGTAGCCTAATGGATAGCACTGACAGTCTCACCTGAAGTTTAGGCTGAACAGAAAGATACATGCAGAGCACCTCAGTGGTACTATGAATTCTGACAGAGGATCTCTCCGGCTCAAAATCAGGATTGATCAGATCTGTAAATGGTTCATTGGTAACATCATTTCCCAACAAGGAATAGTAGAAGAAAAATTCTGGTTGTGGTTCAGGAAGTCTCAATGTGCTGGGGATTAGCTGAAAGTAGACGGATATAAGAATAGTAGGTTAACCAGTTGACATCCGCGGTGTTAAACCCCCTTCCCATCCAGGCCATTTTTCAGTATTCAGCGTTGCGGTACTTTGACTGACATTTATTCCGTCATGCAGCGCTGTACTGAAATTAATTTTATACCCTTTTTGGGGGACAGATAGAGCTTTCTTTTGGTGATATTTATTCACCACCGGGGTTTTTATGTTTTTACTATATTAAGGAAAAATCACCGAAATTAAAAAAAATATATATATATCAGTTTCCCCTATATTAAATGATAAAACATTTATTATTACCCAATTTTTTGGTAAAAAATATAAAAGACGGGGTCACGTCGGGTAAAAAGACACCAAACATGTCAAGCCTTAAAATTGCGTGCGCGCGCAAAACCTCAAAAAACGATAATACCCAAAATTGGCCATAGGCAACGCTTTAAAGGCTGTTACCGATCATCAGTTTAGTGTTATCAGTGATTGATGGCCCTAAAATGATTGCTCTCACTGCGACGTTCGCGGCGATATGTAACATGTGTAGCGCAATTGTAATTTTTGCGCGCTGGGGCACCGGACGCGTATTTACGTTTATAGGCGCGTAAACGTGGGGGTGGGGGGCACACTGACAGGTCCTCTTTATGGAGACATTAGTGGTCTCTAGGACCCCTAATGTCACCTGTGGACCCCAAAAGAAGCAGAGATCTGCTTTATCAGCTTCTTCTCTCTGGCAATAGCAGCCAGATGACTGACAGGTGAATGCGGAAGTGATGTAATACACATCACTTCTGCATTCACAGCCCGGACGGAGATCAGCAAGGAGCTGATCTCCCGTCCTCCTCCTGACGTCCTCCGAGCCGATCCCGGGCCGCAGATGGGGCAGCGGATCCCGGGATTCAAGGTGAGGGGTCAGGGGGGGACAAAAAAAAGAAAAACGGAGGCGGCGGGGGCTGGGGACGCAAACGAGCACATATAGGCGATCGGCGGGCTATGGACCCGCTGATCGCCTATATGTGAAACACCCGGCACCGGGTGTTCGCATTGGACGGGTCTTTTCTGCCCGTACGGGGGCGCGCGCGAGCAGAAAAAAAATGCCGTCTGGCGACGGCAACCCGCCAATGCAGCAGTGCCGTCCGTCCGTTTTTCTACTACGGGCGGACGGCAAGAGGTTAAACCCAAAACATAATCTCGCAATAATTAAATAATTCACACCTGCTTGTTCCATGAATGCGCTGCAAAGCGTGCACTAATGTGTAATGTGTTTGCGGTGCCATGCATTCTTAATGGAACCCCAAACGCGGCCAGCACGGCACTTGTTTTTGCTCTGCGTTTGTGCACGTGAAAACGGGGCACAAACGCAAGAAAGAACACTAAGCGTCAAAAATAATACATGAGCTTATTGGCGTGCGCCTTTCAAATCAAAGGGAATGCGCAGCAAACACAAACAGGAGGCGCATTTCCACGATGTGCAGGTGTGAACCAGGCCTGAGAGAGGCACATCATAACTAGAGCTGCAGGTAACGATTATTTTCAAAATCGGTTTGCCGATTGAGTTCGATTAATCGGATAAAAAATAAAATACATTTTAAAAAATGGCTCCAGTGATGGGACTACTAGTTTGTCTGTGCCGATCGTGGAGTTGGGCGGGCGGTGAGCGTGAGGCAGGGAGGAGGTGCGGCGTGTGGAGCGTGGATGCGGGCGGGTCTGGCAGCGACGGGCGTGAGGTGTGGCGCACAGCCGTGAACAGGGCCAACCAATCGGAAGCCAATTAATCGATTATAATCGATTATGTCGATTAGTTGTTGCAGCCCTAATCATAACCATGATGAATATATGCAACATGCAATGATCCATTGCAACCGTACTTCTCTTTACTACAGTTCGATTGGCTGCTTTGGTTTACTAAAATGTTTGGTAATAAATACACTCAAAATGTTTGGGCTTGTCAAGCAACTAGACACAGTAAAGAATCATGACATAAAAAGGGCAGAATTCAGTAAATAACGTGTGCCCAGAACATGTCAAAGTTAACCTACATGCTCCCTAGAACAGCAGAAACCATGCAATTACACCTGCAATGCTAGCGACACATTCTGCCATCTGTGGATATTCGGTCTTGAAGTATTACATATGGTAAATGTATTTTAGTAGGAATCAAATATGTTTTTCTCCATCAACACGCAGTATTTTCACCAATTCAATAGCAGAGTTTTGAAACTGCAGCTTTAGAAAGTTCCAGGCATGTCATGGATTTGCAGAACCAATAATCCAGTAGTACCAAATCATTCTTACCTGCTCTAGTTGTGTGGCAAAGGCAATGGTTACAGACAAAACAAAATAGTCCTTGCAATAGTCCACAGGCCCGATCTGATGGTAGCCCTCTGCTTCATTCAGAATAGGTACTAGACTCTTAGGGTCAAGCCCACCGTGTGACACTGAAAAATTTAATAAATAATGTAACCTATAAAAAGGAAATAAAACAATATCTAAACCATTAACTTGTGTTTAGTGTGCTCGGCCAACAGCAATCCATTCTGAGGCCTGCCTAAATCTGTATGGAATCCATGATGTCAGTTTCTCCATCTGTATCCCAAAATCTTCTCTACAAATATTAAATGTCCGACCTCCAAATTACTCATTAAATGTTTGCTGTGATCTCTCTCAAGTTTTTATTGGGTGTCTGTGTGATCACCTTGGCAGATAGTGAGGGGGAATTCTTTCAAAGACAACAGACAAAAAACACGACAGAGATTCTAATTCTTCCCCAATTTAGGCTGGATTCACATCTGTGTGTTTAGCTAATACAGATAAAAAGCAATGCAGGGTAACACGATTACACAAAGCGGTTCTGAGCCACCAGAAAAAACAGGACACCACACCTCTGGTATAATTGAAGCAAAAAAAATATTTTTAACAATATTTACAAATGATTACTACAATGTTGATGCCTAGAATGTGGCCGTGTGGTCCAGGGAGGCTACATGCCTTTAGTGATTTAAGAGAATAAATTGTTTAGGAAGGTGTTATAGGTGTGGAACCGACAGGTATACACAGTGGCCCCTCGTGTATTTATTTATTTGTACAATAAAAATTTATTTTTAACAGTTATATGTGTAATATATGTGTTTCATGCCCAGAGTGACACCCAAAAAGCCCTATTTTCCTCCTTTATCTGCTTCAAGGGAAGCACATGATACATGGCGCAGAGCTATTCATTTTGAATACTATCCTTATGCATCTGAGCAGTGGAACCTCAGTCATGTGTGTCAAAGTAAACCACAGCCCACAGAAAAGGTGCATATGTTTTAAATTGTCCATTGCGGTGCATTGGGTGTGCCAACTATACCACATGCTAACTTGCGACATAATGCACGTCAACAGCAAAAAGTTTCCCAGCACACTTACCAGCCAGCATGCAAAAAAAAACAAAAAAAACTCTGTCTAACCGCTAACTAAGGTGAAAAACATGAGTAAGTTAACACACGTTAAATGCGTGACTCCAGTGTCTCACTGCAAGAGTGCTTTTACTGCTGTGTCCCTGCCCCCAGAAGAAAAAAAACCCACCATGGACAAAGATGACAATAACCTGACAGAGGCTCTAACCCTTCACCAAGCTACTCAAAGAAAAAAAGAAGAGAAATACTTGAAATAAAATTCTACCTTTACTGCTTCGAGGAGGAGCCTCTTTGGCCTTAAAGGTCTCCGCTGTAGGCTTGGTATCTGCTTCCAATCCAATATTGAGCTGTACTTCTGGCTTGAATTTTGTGTACTTGCTACTTAACAAAGAATACCATTTTGGAGCCTGTGTTAAAACAGAAGGTTCATGAAATCTTGCCCAAGGACCATTTGTACATTTTATGTACATAACATAAAATCAATGTGATTCAAATGCTGAAGAACAGATGATTCAATAAAGAAGGTAGATGAAGTGGGAACACTATTACACTTCAACACATTAACACCATTGAACAAAAGGCAAAACGCTTCTACAACACAAACAGATACAACTGAAACGAGGATAAGACTTGAATATTCTTACCAATTAGGTGTATATATTCAGATTATACCCTCCACATGACTGCGGTGTTTAAAGGATCAGCCCAAAAGTGGTTTCAGATCTTGGTGGAGCATGAGGGTGTTTTTTAAAGACCATCACACGTAAACGCTCTGGTTTTTTTTGCTTATATCTACTGATAGCAAGCAGTAGATATATGCAAAAACATTTTTTAAAAGTTACCAAAATGGTAATTACTTATCCGTTTCTCCGCTGCTCGCTCCCAGCTGAGAATCTGGAGCTTCTTGAGTGGCTGAGCAGGATGATGGGGCGGGCGCATGCGCAGTAGAGATCTTCAGCAGGGAGAAGAGGAGAGACACAGTGTAAGTCAATGCACGCAGCCGGGAGAGTGCATGTCGGACAGACACCGTGGGACACAGAAGTGAAAGCAGTCAGCGCTGGATCAGAGACTGGTACCAGCAGGGGAGGGATTGCTGAATACAAGTGGACCTTAGAAGATGATCGGATGAAGAGGCATCATTAAAAGGTAAGTGCTTAAAGCAGCATGGTGGTGTGGGTGGGGGGAAAGAATTGTGAATTTAATGTCACTTTAATATAAACCCTTCAGATTACAGAACAAAGAAGCACCTCAACAATTGAGTAATATTTCCAGGGCTGTTGCACTCCTTCCTCTTCTATGAATGAAGAGAGTGATAATTCCTAGCACTTAGTTGTGGTTAGCTAGGGATAGGGGCAATGGGAAAACACAGGGTCATGGATACGAAGGAACATATCAAAGTATACTGCAGTAAACCAGGCATGGGAAGTGTAGTTGACTATTATCAAAAATGTATCTTATTTGTGTATCACTCAGCTGTAGATTCTCAAATCATCTCTGAATTGGTGCTGACACTGTGCTTCCTTCTGGAGGGTGACTACTTTTGTTCCCCATGGTCCCTGTGTGTTGTAAAGTAGCCACGGCTCTGAGCTGGACTACAATCACAATACAAATTAGTAAACTAAACATGGAGATTGTAGTCCATCACAAGAGCGATCTTAGAGCACTGGCTACTTTACAACACACACAGGGACCATGGGAAACAAAAGTAGCCACCCTCCGGAAGGAAGGACAGTGACAGCACCAATTCAGAGATGATTTGAGGATCTACAGCTGAGCACAAATAAGATAAATTTTTGTTAATAGTTAAGGTATTTGAATGTATTTTTCAGATTTAACCCCTGAGTTCAGTGTCACTTTAAAAGTAATACCATTTCATATGAATGACGTGAACACAATGAGCACACAGGGCACGGAAAGCCTTGCCTGATATGGAATCTCCTTTTTAAAGTTCATCAATGTCTCCGATTTCAGTGCGCAGTACAAATGCCATGCCAACATGCCCAGGTTAAAAACAATGCAGAAAATAAATAAAAGCTGAATAATAATATATTAGGAATATAATTACTTGTTTGATTTCCTGAGCAGCTCTCAAGTCTAAAACTACATATCCAACTGGTTCTTTTGCAGACGTTAAAGTATCCAAGGCAAAGCACTGCAGCTTGATTGGTGTTCGTTGCAGCCTACAAGGACAAAAATGCATTGTTACAGGGACATTTTTACATGTCTAAGCTACATTTTAAACCCACACACTTCAGAGACCTCTGCTAACCTACAGAATCACAAAACACAATGTTTATTTTCCATTTCAGTACAATAACGTCCATTATCTGCCAGATATGTTAAGTCACTGACCACTTTGAGATCCACAAGTTTGAGTCACATAAAACTCAACTCCACTCTACAGTTATTGGCGAATTAAAGAAAAGGGAGCTTAGTACAGAAACGTATATTTAGAAACAAGAGTATAATTTTCTCCATGCAAACTTCTAAATACACAGATGAATTACATCCTCAGTCCTCATTTTTAATACTAAAGCCAATACTTAATAGGGGTGCACCGAAATTTCGGCCGCCGAAACATATCGGCCGAAATTGGCACTTTTGGCAAAATGCCGAAAGTACCATCTTTCGGACGAAATTGCAGTGCATCCCTGCTTTCTCTCCTCCCCGCTGCTCTGTGTCCCCTCTGATACAGCAAAACCGTTAGAGGAGGAGAGCGCTATGAGCGGCCAGCGTGTCACAGGAGGCTGGGCTCACCTCCCCGCTCGACTGACGAATCAAGATGGAGAGCGGTGTGGGGGCAGCAACAGCGGTCACAGGAGCCCGGGCCGGCGGTGCAGAGGGGGAGTCAACTGTCAAAATAGCCCGGACTGTCCTCCCTGCAACGCTCGCTCTGCATCCTGTTGACAGCGAGTCAGGATGGAGAGCGGGTACAAGCACTCGGTGATAAGTGATCGCCGACTGCTTGTAAATAATGTATGTTGACTGTGTCCCCAATTTTGAATGAATGGGAAGTGATCTACATCACTTCCGGTTCATTCATGATTGTGAATATAGTAAACACACTATTTCTACAACTTATGAATGAACCAGGAACACTATAGAGCCTTGGTTCTCAACTGCTGGGTCGTGACCCAAAAGTGGGTCGCGACCCCGTTTTCAGTGGGTCGCCGCGTGCCTTCCACTTTTCTAGGCAAAAGGCTCCTCAGCCTCCCCCTCGCATAGCAATATCAGTTCTTGTGCTGAGCAGCCATTCAGAATATGCTGCCTGGTGCCAAGTGACAGTGTGAGGTGGGGTGGGGTGGGCTGGAGCTATGGCTGCGAGGGAGCTTCATCCATACATGCATTGCTTACAGCTCCCTCATGTGACCTGTAGATCTGTCTGGACCAGAGCGACGTCACATTCTGGCTCCTAGCACCTCTACAGGGCACACAAGGGAGTTGTACAAGCAATGCATGTATGGATGGAGCTCTGTCACAGCACAGCAGCCCAGCAATGGACCTCAAGCTGAGGATCGCCTGCACCGAAACGCACGATACCGCAATGCCTTGCGTTCCAGTGCGACTTGGGTCGCCTCTTAATGTCCAAGGACAAATGTGGGTCCTGAGGTTATATAGGTTGAGAACCACTGCTATAGAGGATTCCGGTTAATTTATAACAGGGATGCAGAAAAAAAGAGGATTAAGGACTCTGTGTCCTCAATCTCTTTTTCTATTTTAAAAAGGGAAATATCAGGGGTCTAGACTAGAGATGTCAAAATTTCTGGAAATTTTTAAGCAATGAGAAAAAAAATGTTTTTTCCCCTGTTTTTTCCCAGAAATAAAAAAATGGAAATTTTCGGAATAAAAAAAAAATTCAGTCTGAAATATTTTTACAAATTTTGTTACACTAGGGACATGAAATGCAGTGTATATAAATGTATTATGCTTGAAATAAAAGTTTAGTTTATTCAGTAAATAAACTAAACTTTCTTTTTATTTATTATTACAAATGGAATAACAAGGACTGTATATGTTAACAACATTTCAACTGAAGGAAAAAAAAAAAACAACAATTTTACTGAGCAGACTATAGGTAAACATTATACTGTGATGGTGGAGAACATTATTAGGAATCATTTAAAGGTTATAAAGATAAAACTAATTTGTCAGAGAAATGTACCCTCTTGTCAGTCCTCTTAACCTGTCAGTTAAGGCCAGAGAGGGCAGAAACTACTATCTACCATCATACCAACAATCACCCAACTGTAGGAGGTACAAGATAGAGCCCACAAGCTAACTAAACTGGAGCCTTTCCTCTGCAGTGCCCCTAGTGGCAGAAATGCCGATTTCCTTCGGAGTTTGAGAACTGCATTGAGAAGTACAGTGTTACTTGAATTGTATTCCAGGATTTGCTTGTCTTCAGCTGAGAGAATGTGAAATCATTTAAGACATCTTTCATTAAGGTCTTCATGTTATATAGTTTGAATACCATGTCATAGAGATATTATTTATCATTGTAAAACAACATATTCCACACTTTTTTTTTTTCATTTTTCCAGAAAAAAAAAAAAAGAGAACAGTTTTTTTTCCCAATCTTCCCGTTTTTTTACCCGACCTTCCTATCTCTAGTTTAGACCCCTGATATTTTACCAAAGCCTCCAGCAGTAAAGTTAAAAAATATAAAAAAATAAAAATAAAATAGAAAAGTTAGAAAAAAAAAATAATTTTCAGTTTCAGCCTGACATTATTGTAATTTTTGGTTTCAAAATTACATTTCAGCGCACCTCTAATACGTAATACTTCCAGGTAACGTATGACCCCAAGTCTGTGACTGCACAATGAAAGAAGGAGCAGCAGCTCATCTCTCTGCCAAATCTGCTCTCTTTTCCTATCAGCAAGTTTCTCTTTGCACATGAGTAGGAGTCTTTTATATTTTCTTGGAGATTAGCTTCAAGATCAATCAATCAAGTGAACTTCTATATGAACATTTATGTTCCATTAAATATTATTCATAAATCCAAATTAGGATAGAACGCGAAGTTTGGATCCTATCCCATGTAACCACTTGTAAACATAGACAACCAATGAAAGCGCTCAGTATGTAGCTCTTCTAGCTTTTAGCAATGAAAACAATGATGGCTTTGTAGGATGCCTCAGTGTATTTTTAGTGAACACAATAATCCACATATAAAAAGACAACATATGGTACATGACTTCTCCCTAAGGGGATCTCATAGCAGATGGATTACATGCAATTACATATGAAAAGGGCTCTGACAAAACAAGCTTAACGTATCTGGAGAATAACAGATAGAACAATAAAACAGGGTAACGCATTGCTTATCTAACACTGTATAACCTACAGACTGACCATCAGTGCACACATCCTTCCTGACACTTCTTAGGGTAACCCTTTGATGATTCTGTACTTCCTCTATACTAGTTTATGAATCCTTTCCTATGGGACACGGAGAGAGAATTCCCCTGGATGGAAACCTGCGCCACATGTCTGTTTGCAATGCAAGCAATACAAAAATTAAAAGGAAACCCGTATGGAATATGAAGGCTGCCAATGCTGGATTCTTATTTCCAGAATGATAGTTATCTGGCTGTGATACTGATCCTACAGCACTTATATAGTACAAATCAGTGACCTGGAACAAGTATGCCCATCCAGAGTTTTACTTGCTGCATGATTGCTTTGGGCAATTAGGGAAGCATCTGTGCAAAAGCCCAGCAACTAGCATTTTAAGAACAATAGATCAATTTGACTCTTAGTACAGGTTTTCTATAAGTCTTCTGGAGCCACTAAAGTAATTAATGGACACAGTATTTGAGGCAAGTGAAGTTTCTTGGCGGTCCGTAATAGTTTTTCGAAATCAGAGTGGGTTTGCTCTGCCTGGGTAGAGAGGGTGGAGCTGATTAAATAATCCATATGCTAATGCAAGCATTGATATGTGTGCGGTGGGGCAGCTATTCTCAAATCACTGGAAAAGGGCAGCTGGTGGGAAGCACAAGCTACCTGCAAATCCTGGCCATAAACTGACTTCTCCCCACTGTATGTTTCTGCTGAAGGAAGGTGGGACTTCAGTTGATGGAAGGTGACATCATGCATTGGATACTGGAGAGGTGGTGCAGAAGAGGCAGGAAAGAAAAGGACAGGGCACTACAGGAAGAAAATGAGCATGTCAGCTTGTGAACACTCTTTGCTGTTGTATACAGGTGAAACTCGATTAGAATATCGTGCAAAGTTCATTTATTTCACTAATGCAACTTATGCGGTGAAACTAATATAGGAGATAGACTCATTACATGCAAAGCAAGATAATTCAAGCCGTGATTTGTCATAATTGTGATGATTATGGCTTACTGCTCAGGAAAACCCCAAGAACCCCAAATCCACAACCTCAAAAAAGTAGATTATTACATGCCCCTTTTGCAGCAATTACTGCCATTACTTTTGCATGATATTCTAATTATTCGAGTTTCACCTGTATATGCAGTGCACAGGTTGAAATATAGCGAGCAGAGGGTGAAGTGGAAAAATAGGCAGTTGTTGAACAAAGAGGGCAGAAGGTTATGGGTACAAGGTAGAGTCAGAAAGCAGTGTGGGCACAGTAGTAAAATGGGTAGAAGAAATGTGTAGAGGGTGAGGAGGGTTTAGGTTGCACGCATCCCCAAATCTGCAACTCCCGCACATCATCAATCAATTACTACTGGCATACAGAGCTACAATACTCTAACAAGCTTGAGTGAGGGCAACAGTTTTTGACATACCTAAATGAAAAGTAGCGATCCCTGTAAGACACCCCTCTGCCCCTCAGCAGACACACCTGCTGACAGTAGCCCTGAGCTCCCAGGCTGTTCTGACAGCTGGTAGAAGAAGGGGAAGTTCTGGCACACCCACCTACACAAACTGATTTGCCCTAGCAACAGGCAAGCGGTATTTGAGTTTTATGGCAGTTTTAAAAAATGTAGCATGCTGAAGAATTAAATGGAAAGATCATTTTTAGTGAATACATAACCTGTTTAGTAATTTTATAGGTTATTTTTTGTAAATAAAGAAAGGCTTAGTCCCTGTGGAAACCCCATGTATTCTAAACCCATTCATGGAACCCTGAATCATTCCACTGGCAAGTTCCAGAATCCCTACTGTTCACTGAAGTTCTGGCATATGACTAATGAATGGCAGAAGGTGGGGATTAATCACGACTCAGGCATATAAATATAGACCTGCACTGCGCTATATGCCAATTCTGTCATACGGGACAGGAAGTGGACAAAACGCATTGGATGGTCGGTACATGCGAGTGAGGAACTCAGATCGGAGGAAACCGGCGTTGCTGAGTGTTTAAAGTTTTTTTTAATAAAGATACTTTTAACCTACTGCACTATGGAGGATCATATTGTGCTTCCTTCGAGTACTAACGTATGGGGTGAAAGATCCTATAAGTAGTGGAGGAGATCTTGGAACACAAAGGGTGAATTGTATTAATTAATTGATCATAATAATTTTATGTTATAGGAGGTATTTAAAGTGACATTAAACCCTCAGATTTTTTTAACATAAACCAATACTGTAATGTGTGCCTTACTGTAATCCATGGTAGTTTCCCTTTTCTATGCTGCTCTTCCTTTTAAATCCTCATGTCTTCTCATGCTTGGGGAGAACTTCCCTTTGCAGGTCAGGGCCTCTTCCTGTAGTGCTGGTTAAGGTTACAAACCTATACACAGACACCATATATCCATTCCTGAGACAAGGCACTCAGCTGCAAAACAGAAGTTCTGCCCAGCATGAGAACAGATACAGATTTAAAAAGGAAGAGCAGCAAAGAGAAGGGAAACAACCATGGATTACAGTAAGGCGCACATTACAGTATTGGTTTATGTTAAAAAATCTGAGGGTTTAATGTCACTTTAAGTGACTTATTGGGACACTGAGGATTTTCCACATTTATGGATTGTATGCTTGCCATTTTTTGAGGTATTTTAGGAAGCGGTGTTTATTGATTTCTATATTGATTGGCGCATAACACCGTGCAGGTCTATATACATTTATCACAGTGGATTTTCCCTGATAGCAGCTATAGAACACTGTGGGTAGGAGTGCTTAGGGTGTTAGGAGCGCGGATTACACGGAATAAGCCGACTCAGGCATAAATTGAGGATCCATATTCACAGATTCACCTCCATCTCTTCTAGCAAGCTCCTCTCCTCGCCAGCATTACCTGTCTATGTTGGAGGTTACACCACTGTGGTCCATGAATCCACCAAGTGCAGCAAGAGCATTTGCATGTGTGTGTGTGTGTGTGTGTGTGTGTGTGTGTGTGTGTGTGTGTGTGTGTGTGTGTTGCATTTACCTTGTAACCCCCATTCCTCCTGTATGAGAGGCAGGCATGATTTCATTAACCAGCATCTTACAATATAAAGTGATATTACCTGTGTTGGTGAAGAGCTTTCTTGTCAAGTTCCCATGCTAATTCAGTTGCAAATTGTGGCTGCTCTAAATGAGGTACCGGATCTGTAGACAACTGTTCACCATCAAACTTGGCTTCAACCACAAGCATATGCCTAGAGCGCTTTGGGAAATGCCTCCCTATAGAAAAGGGGAAAAAAAGTATTACAAACAAAATTTGTCGTAAAAGATGCATTTCTGCCACATAAATGACAAGGGTAATGCACATTGTAGATTGCATTAACATAATGATAGAAGCACAATTCTGCCACAATTAGTTGATTATTACCGGAACCCTGAGAGACAAATTCTACCTAATGAGCAGAATGAATCACACGTGTAATCTTGGGAAACAGTGCATAAAAAAAAAATCAAATTACATTTTTGAGCCCCATTGCTGTCGGTAACCCGAGGCCTGTTCATGAGCTCGGTTTACAAGAAAAGATATACAAACACAAAAACGGTTTGACTTCCAATTTAACAGATGCTTAAACATCCCTGGAGAATACTGTGGTGCTGATCATACAAACGTCCGTAGCCCGCAGGTAATTTTTGAACTACTCTGGTGCCGAATGTATCTCTCTAAGCAATCATTACTAGTAACCATATGGCAACCAAACTATGACTACAGTTATGATTTCATGTTATAAAAGAAGAAATAACATTGTTTTTGGATTGATTTAAAGCAGAACTCCAATTTTAACAAAAATACACATAAAAATAGCAGATTTAAAATGAAAATATTTTGTTTGCGATACTCAGCCTAACACTGGAGATGTGCCTTGCAGTACTTCATTTCTGCCACTAGATGTCCTTATTCTTCTGGGTAGATTGAATGTCAGCATTGATCAATTCACTTACTCTGAGTCTAGGCTGTCATTAACCTGCCCCAAGCCTGTGACTGGACAGTAAAGGAGAAGTAGCACAGCAATGAGCTCGTCTATCACTCTGCGTTCTCCTTATATCAGCACATGACTTCATCTCTTCCACTGTACAAGAACTGCAAAACACTGATTTCAAGTCAAATTCAAGCACTTACACTGCCTGCATCTCAAAATATATTTAATGGTGTATAGAATTGAATGTAAAGGCAATTTTAGTTTTAGTAGAGTAGGGAAGGGTCAACTATGTCAAGTATTTATCGGAGTCCCCTTTGGGGAGATTAACCCCTATTTGTCCTGATGATCTCTTGCACCAAGACAGAGAGTGAAAATCCAAAAGAGCCGTCATCATAGCAAGACATAAGATAATGATGTCAAATGGGGGCATGTGTTGCTATGACAGCTGCCATTTGTAAGGAGCAGACAACTATTACAAGAGTGTCTCCTCACAGGGCAACAAACATCAGTGAGTATCACAGTCATGTACATGAACTTGTTGCAAAAGTGCACCAGGATTGGCACAAATCTTAGGCGGCAAGCATGGAGGCATGATGAGGGGCAGCATTGAACCCATACCAGATACTCCAACCACAGTGTGTGTTCAGCCCTGACATCATCAGTTGTTAAAGGAGAACTATGGGGTTAGGGCTTTTCCCCATAGTTCTCCTTAGGGTAACGGGAGGATACAAACTAGCGTCCTACCGTCACCCTAAGCTCAGTATACCGCGAGCTACAGCTTGCGGTATACTGAGACGCTGGAGCGGATCCCGACAACGATGTCGAGATCCGCCCAGCTGCATGAGTGACAGCTGGCTCTGCCTACCTAGAGGCAGAGCCAGCTGTACCCGCCCCGTCCGTTCCGCCAGTCAGCGTTGGCGGATCGGAACGGGGGGAATCCAGCCGTGACAGGATCGAGAGGTGAGCGAACGCCGGTATCTCACCTCCCGATCTACTGAGCCGACCTGTGACAGTCTCATTGTCACAGGTCGGCTAGAACTATGAGGTGAGTGAAAATCACTCATCTCATAGTTCTCCTTTAAGACACTGGCAGTCACCTGCGTCCTAGCAACCAATGACGCTTTGCGGCTGACAGCATCCTGCCAGATCAACTGTAAGGAAAACATCAGTTTACAGGTCATGTGACAGCATACAGCCAGCTTCTATCTTTACTTTACAGGGAAGTAAAGATAGAAGTCACCAGCACTCACTTGTAATGTAAAAAAAAGGATAGCACTTTCATGCGTCACAAAGACAAAATTTCAGGTCCCTTCATCAGGGCGACATCGTAGGGAAGAACAGGTTGCTGCGCACAAATCACACGCAGCACCTGTCCCTCCCAGGATCAGCTCGTTTACAGGCATGCACGCCACGTGTGTATAAGGCCTAACATTGATTTTAGCGCACATAAACACCCAGATAGCAAGCAATTGAGCTGCAAGTTATAAAATGACTTACTAAAACTATTGCAGACTTGCCAAACTTCACAATTTTGTTGCACAATCACAGCAAGTCTGCATTGCAAGTCTCCAGATCAGCGTGCTTTGCAAACGTGCTGTACACTTGCAGAGCTCTTGCTAAGACCTGCAGGACTCTTGCTGTAGACTTGCCAAGCAAACTTGCTACAAATTCAAAAAGTGTCAACTAGAACTTGTGCAGCGAGTGTTCTGCAAGTCTACAACTTACCAGGAATGTGTGCAGCAAGTTACCAAGAATTACAATTTAACCCTGTCACAGGTTTGTGGCAAGTTATCCTTGCTATCTGGGCACAATATATTACCCAATTTCTTGGTAACATGAAAATAAGGGTGATCTGAGTAAATAGATACCAAACATGTCAAGCTTCAAAATTGCACGTGCCCGTGAAATGGATTTCTATTGCTCTCCGAGTCCCCATTTGTGAGGGGGGGGGGGGTTCCCCTGACTTCTGTAGTGGAATTTTGATATTAACTCACACACTTCATATTATTGATAGTAGTTAGTCTATGCATTCTTATTATTAATATTATGCAATAGTTAAAGTTATTTAGGAAGAGAAGACAGAGCCTTTCCTGGTGCAGATCAAATTTAGTTTCAATAGTCAAAGATAAAACATAAGGTACTCACAAACATAGATAAAATACAGCCATAGAGTGAAAGCTGGCAGGCAGATGGACATCCACTGAGGGAATCCTGTGTGCGAGTGACGTTGTTGACGCGTTTCCGGGGCACGCCCCCTTCATCAGTGATGTTCTGATACGCGTCAACAACGTCACTCGCACACAGGATTCCCTCAGTGGATGTCCATCTGCCTGCCAGCTTTCACTCTATGGCTGTATTTTATCTATGTTTGTGAGTACCTTATGTTTTATCTTTGACTATTGAAAATAAATTTGATCTGCACCAGGAAAGGCGCCCCCTCTGTCTTCTCTTCCCAGATTTCGTAGCTTTCCCGGCTTTTTCTGGGGGCAGCATCCCGCAGTAAGCCTAAGTGGATTTCCCAGTGAGGAGAGATTGTTTGCGGCGCTTTATTGCTTTGATTTTAGTTAAAGTTATTTAGTCCTAGAAGTTGAGCAGCCTTATACAGACATACAGATGAACCCTCAGAGCATACAAGACACACTCGGCATGTTTGCATGTGTCCAGTCTATGTGCTTGGGCTGGAATGGAAGGGGCTAGAACAACTTAGGTGACGTGATGTCTAAGGAATATCAGATTTATGGTTAATTACAGTGGTGTAAGGCTGGGTTCACACCATTTTCCGGACCAGATCTGGAACACGGTGCATTACGTTTTTACCGCGTTCGAGCTGTTTTGTTTTTTTTTAAGCTTAAATGTGCTTTTAGGTGCGGTCCAGTACGTTTGCATGTGTTTCTGATGCGTTTCCATGCATTTCAGACCAGAGAAAATGAGACAAGCAGTATTTTTTTTTTGTCTGGTCCGGAACAGACTGCACTGGTGTGAACAGAGCCCAGAAATACCATAGGGATACTTTGGGATCCTTTTTTGGTCCGGGAACAAACTCTTCTGGTCTGGACATGATCTGGAGATGGTGTGAACAAGCCCTAAGTCTTGGCAGCCAATCATAATGTAGCCCATATGGTTGTATTGTAAAATGTCTTATAAAAAAACAAGCCTGCAAGCTTCTGTTCTGTTATTATTAAACCTGCTAAATGAAGCTTGTGCCTGGTTTGGTCCTTTGCTCCTCCAACTCATTAAATAATAAAAAAGGAAAATCGCCAAAAATCTCGACATTAGTATAATCATAACTGCACACAAACTAGAGAGATCATAAATACCACCACTGTACGTATCCCATCGCACTCCTGACCGACGCGTCCGTGTCACATCCATAGCGGGTGCTACGGTGACAAGCGAATGGCGCCGCACTTGAGAGCAATAACAGGAAGAGTCGCCGGCACTCCAGATTGTGACACAATTATGTCTTTCATTGACATCTCCATGAACTCACAGTACATCCTCAGTCTTCTGAGTAACACCGGGCATCATACGGCCTGGAAGACATCTTGTGGCAGAATAAATACTGTAAAGGACAGAGATATATATCTGTGAACCCATGGTGTGAACCCAGCCTTACACCACTGTAATACCACCACTTACACCACTGTAATGGAGACGATATACGTAAAAACGTAATGCACCGTGTTCCAGATCTGGTCCGGAAAATGGTGTGAACCCAGCCTTACACCACTGTAATTAACCATAAATCTGATATTCCTTAGACATCACGTCACCTAAGTTGTTCTAGCCCCTTCCATTCCAGCCCAAGCACATAGACTGGACACATGCAATCATGCCGAGTGTGTCTTGTATGCTCTGAGGGTTCATCTGTATGTCTGTATAAGGCTGCTCAACTTCCAGGACTAAATAACTTTAACTAAAATCAAAGCAATAAAGCGCCGCAAACAATCTCTCCTCACTGGGAAATCCACTTAGGCTTACTGCGGGATGCTGCCCCCAGAAAATATCGTCTCCATTACAGTGGTGTAAGGCTGGGTTCACACCATGGGTTCACAGATATATATCTCTGTCCTTTACAGTATTTATTCTGCCACAAGATGTCTTCCAGGCCGTATGATGCCCGGTGTTACTCAGAAGACTGAGGATGTACTGTGAGTTCATGGAGTGATGGGCCCGTCCCCTACAGGTGTGCCCCAGTCACAGAGTACTGCTACAGAGAGCAGCGCGGATGTCATGACGAATTAGTGAGAGCTGCTCAGAGAAAAGGTAAACATGTCCCCGTGGTGTGACCGACCTGAAGACTTATGGAAAAGGGAAATAACTCAGAGCTGAGAGCCGGGTTTCATGTCACATCCCCATTGTCCTAAAAACAATACTTTTATTTTAAAGGAGAACTTCAGGGAAAGCTTTTCTTAAATCCTGGCAGTGGGGCTACCCCTGCACTGCAAGGCCTGGTTCCCACCTGGGCATTTTACAGCGTGTAGGAACGTGCTGCAAAACGCCCTACGCCCACAGAAGTACAGGAGCTTCTTTGGGGCGTTTTGCCACGCGTTTCCATTGGTATTCCCGAGTGTGGATCGGGGTTAACAAAGCGGTAACCCCGAGCCACACTCGGGAATACAGCGTACAGGTCTTACCTTGTCCACGATCCCTGCTGCGTCTTCTGGCAGCTGCCGACTTCCGTCCCTTGCGAGCGGCCGCGTCGCAGGAGGACGAAGCCGGCGGGAAGTTCAAAAGTGAAACTAAAACTGCAGCCTGTCCCCTCCTATGCTGCAGCATTGGAATGTTCCTCAATGTCATCATGTCTATACACAGTGTATAGAACGTGATGATTTATGGGACCCTAGACCCCTGCAGAGGCGGAGAGATGATGGAAGGACCGGTCTAAGAACAAGTCGGCTCTGAGGTTCAGGCGAGTATAGCTTCTTCTTTTTTTTTTTTACCTAGACAAAAACAAGCCGTTAATCCTTGCAATGCTGGGGTAACCCCACTGCAAGGTTAATACAAATGTCTTTAGCTACCTCTGATACTTCTGGAAGAGACAGAGCGCTGCAAATAAGCCCCCCCCAACCCCCCCCACCCCCCCCAGCTCTGATGTCCACCATGATACTGGCAGTGGTGGGTGATCTGCAGATTGTAAGTGAATATCATGCAAGGCTTCCCAACCACTGCCAGAATCTTGGTCAATGCCACGGCTGGGGAGGGGGAGCAGCTGCAGCATTGTACATGTTTCAGCCCAGATGAAGAAATATGCCTATGTTTACCTTGTTGTGCATAGACCAGTGTCAGGGTCTCTCTAAGCTGCTGAGGCCTTTCAGACCTCCCTGGTCTCTTCCAGTCCTCGCCTTCCAGTCCCTCTCCACTTCTACATTAGGCCCCATTGTGCCCAGACCGATCCCCAGCCCTTCTGCACAACCTAAAGGAAGACCTCGCAGCTGGTATAAGAACAGATTGTAGCTTACCTTCCAATATGGAGACGACGATGAGCAGCTGGTCTGATCTGTAGCCCATGTTGGGATCGGGGTGACAACACACACAGCCAGTGAGATAAAGCAGCCCACAGCGCCCAGTCAATGAGCTGTCAGCCCCGGTCACTGAAATGAAGTGTCACCCGCCGCTAACTCCTTCTTTGCCGCTTCTCTCTGCATACAAACTCAGCGGATCCCCGCCCCTTGACTACCGACTACTTCCGCCAACAACAGGAGAGCCCACCAATCACATGGCTCGGCGGGTGAAAGAGAGGGAGGTAGAGAACTGAAGCTCGCCACACAACAAATTGCTGTGCGGACTTACTTGTGATGGTCGGCTATGGTTACGTGTATGATCATGTGACTGTGGTCACGTGACTGCAGATTGCGGAGGAGCCATGTTTGTTGTGGGAAGTGCTGGCAGCCTCTGTTACAAATACCATTCAAGCATCCGTGGGTTCCTCACATTCAAGCATCCGTGGGTTCTTCACTTGTAGTGCTCTTTATCAACTTAAGTGGCAAGAAGAATTAGAGTCTGCTTTAGCTTGGGGTTGCCATTTGGAAGGCAACAACGTTGACCCCTAAGAATGTCCTAGTGTTGGTGAATTCATATAATGTGGTGGTACTTAACCCCTGCCGGGTACACAAGACTATTGCCACCTATCCCCCGCGGTTGTTCGACTGTTGGCAATATGGCCCACATCTGGTAGGAATGTCCCAAAGTACAAGAGCTTTGGATTAGTGAAGTATAGGAATACGGGCACCATGATTAACGAAGATTTGCCTGTTATTTTGGTGGACTCTCATGGATCTCATATGCTAGTCCGCTTAGTTTTGAGAAAGCTCTGGTAAATGTTATTTTTCTGGTGCATTTCAGTCCTGACCATATACCACTCTCTACAACTCTTTTCTTCTGCCATGGTTGGTTTTCTCTCCTATCTTAGCTTTCTCTTATTCAATTTCATCTTTTGGCTTTTTCCCTTTTGCTCTCTCCCTCTTTGGCCTCATTCACACACAATGCAAGAGCAAAATTGTAAGTACATTTGTAAATGCGTATATGCGTGTGTGTATGTATGTGTGTATTTGCGCGTATATGCACGTATGAGCGTACATGCGTAAACTATGCAATCCCAGAATGCATCATTTTTAATAGAAACTTTAATGTACTTTAAACACGTACGCAGCTGTGAGGGGTCACAGCCAGGGCCGGCCTGGCTGCGCCCTCTTGACCCTGTTGCCATGGCGAGCACAGGGCGCCATGGCAATAGGGGCGCCAGGCAGTCAACGCAGGGAGTAGAGGATGGGGTTGCCACCTTTTCTTCAAGTGAAACCCGAACACTCTAGCGACACGCGGATATTTTTTTTGCAAGAATGAGTCCTGGCTTATTCATACGGTATGTAAATAGCGCCACCCATTCATATGTAAATATCACAGTTGAGACTATTTTTAGTGGGGGGCCAGTAGCCCCTATCTTAATTTTGGTTGCCCCTGTCTGCCAGAGACAGCATTCAAAACCCGGACTGGGCAGATGGCAACTCTAGTAGAGGAGTAGCACAGCCTGCAGCTTTTCCTCGGATCCTCGCTGCTCTCTCCTGTGGAGGAGGGAGCTGTTATCCAGGATGGCTGAGTGGTAAGGAGAGAGAGAGCCGCTCAGCCAGGATATGAAAGCCAGCGGCTCTCTTCTCATCGCTTAACCATACTGAAGTGACAGCGCTCTCTCCTCCGATCAGGTGATCACTCCAATGTTTGTAAATAACTGGGGACACACATAGTACTATGTGTCCCCAGTTATGAATGAACAGGAAGCGCTTTACATCACTTCCTGTTCATTTATGAGTTTCTGAATGGGTAGTAGCACTCAGTACAGAGGCTTCTATCCATTCAGAAACTGGTTGATGGTAAATATTTTGCCATCACCAGTTTCTGAATGATTGGGAAGCCTCTGTACCTAGTGCTCTCCATTCATTTAGAACAGGGGCTGCAGAAAAAGAGATTGAGGGCTCTGTGTCCTCAATTTATTTTTCTATTTCAAAAGGGAATTGTCAGGGGTCTTCAGACCCCTGATATTTCACCGAAGCCCCCCAACAGAAAAAACCTTCAGACCCCTGATATTTCACCGAAGCCCCCGAACAGAAAAAACCTTCAGACCCCTGATATTTCACCGAAGCCCCCCAACAGAAAAAATAAATACAAATGAAAAAAATAATGACAAATAATAAAAAAACGAAAAAAATTCATGTAAAAAAAAAAACATCCTGGAGGCGGGGAGCATGGCGTCACATGACGCAGCACGTGCGTGGCATCGGGTGATGTCACACGCCTGTTGGGTGTGCACAATTTTTTGTTCTTGCCGCGGGTGCAAAAGGAGCTAACTACGGCTCTGATCCCTAGTAACTATGTAATGTAGTGTAATTGAAAATTAATTTTTAAATTAAATTAAAGCTGAACTCCAGCCTTACCTTTTAGTCCCTGTTCACACCTGTGTGATTTGGCGTGTGTTGGCCGACAAGAAAAGTCTCATTTTTATGGGACCTATTCACACCTATGCGGAACAAGGTGCAGGTGCTTCTTTTAGTTCATTTTAGGCCCCGTAGACTTCAATAAGAGCACATAACAAATGTGTGTGTAAATTATCACATAGCAACCGGTCTATTCCTCCTAGCAACATATACTCTAGCCAGGCTGTATGGATAGAGCAGGCCACACCATGCTTGATGTGGAGGAGCTAATACGGATGGTGAGGACATGGCAAAGACATTGCTGAATGATCTCAGCAACCACCATCACAAGGATCAGGGGCGTCCCGAGGCCGGGTGTCGCCCGGAGCAGAGACCGGGTGACACCCCGCCGTGACGTCTTCACGCATGCGCGATCATCTAATTGACGCCTGCCGGCGGCAATCTTAGTGATGGACGCCGGCAGAGAGAGGAGGGGACGTTCACCCACCGGGTCCCCTCCTCTCTCCTGACACTGTCAGTCATTTTGGTGTCACCCCTCCAATGGTGTCACCCGGGTGCGGGCCACACCCCCCGTACCCTCCTTGTGACACCACTGACAAGAATCACTGCAAGCGCCAGAGGGCCTGGAAAGACATCACCCCCAAGATTTATGGTGTTAGGGATGGTTACTGCCCAAAGCTAAACATATTTCTTTATTCAGCTCATCATTTATGTTTGACATGCTAATGTATGCTTGTAGAAATGGCACTTCTGCATACCAATGTTGTTGGTCTAGTGTTACTTGCTTGTATTTAGCCGAAACAAAAACATGCATGAAGCATGTAAACGTATGAAAAATGCATTACAATGCATCAAAAGCATGCAGATAAATGCGCTATAGAAATGTGCATAAACATGCTACAAAAACTCACTAGAAATGCATGAATATACAGAGGCACAAGTGTGAACACAGACTAGCCTCGCACAGTTATGCAGGCTGCTTCCTGTACTAAAATTGTTTACTCTGATTTCACTGTACATTGTGAGCTTCTCAAGGTGTGCATTAGAAACTGCAACACTCAGATAGAACTTGTCTCATTTCCTGGCTGGAGCACATACAGCATCATCTAACTCTTTCCTCCCCAGCCTTACTGTCCCTGATGCACCACATTTTAGCTCTTTAGGGCCCAGTCACATCATATCCTGGCGGTTCCGGCACGATTCGTAGAAATCAAGCCGTGCTGTGTCCTGGGGCGGGAGGGGGCGTGGTGATGCCATTCATGTTACCGGCACTGCAGACATGCCTCCCGCCCACAGTGTGCTCACCCGCATCAAAATGCAAGGTACAGGAATGCTGCAGTGCGATCAGAAAAAATGCTCCATGTACTTTTCTTTCCGTTCACACTGCACCGGAATGGAGGGCATTCCTGTACCTCGCATTCCAGTGCAGGCAATCGCACTGCGAGCAGGGGGCGTGTTTGCAGTGCCATTGAAATGAATGGCCCTCCCACCCTAGAATGCGGCCCTGCTTGATTTCTGCTATCTAGTGCCTTCCGGCCACGAATCGTGCCGGAACGCACTGGATATGGTGTAACCGGGCCATCAATCATGGAAGATCGGCATGAAAGGAAGGCATTACCTGGAGTGGTCTGCATGCAAATATAATCTGCTTATAGTGTCCATTCCTCCTCCTTAATATCCACCCAGAAAGGCATTCTGATATTTGCATAACTCGTCCCAAGACCCAGCCCACTGCTTCCATCAGGTCTGAGGGCTCTTGAGGGCAGAACTGAGGCAGGTTGCCGATTAAACTTCAGCTTTGAGACTGGGTTCACACCTGGGTGACAGCGTTTTTGCGAGTTTCTATGCGGTTTATGCGCATAAATCAGATCACGTTTTTTTTTGCACAGATTCTAGTTCATTGATATTAATGGGCAGACATGCGTTAAAAGTGTGCATTGTGTCTATGGGCCAAAACGAGCTTTAATCTGCCCAAAAAAATGCTCCTGTACCTTTTCCGGCGACAGTCGTTTTGCTTATTTTGACAAAACGCTCAGATGTGAACAGAATTTTTTGGGGGCATATTTTTTGAGTGTTTTTTAGGGCAGAAAAAGTGCTACAAAACGCTCAGTGTGAACCAGGCCTAAAGGAGTTGTAAAGTCTCCGCACATATTACCCGGTTCTAACATCAGCATTATAATAGGAAAACATACTCTAGTTGTTTTTCATAATACAGTCAAAGCTTTCGTGATAAAATCCCTTTTTATGTAGTGAGTGCTGCCTTCTGTCTGCCCATCACTTTCATCAACTTCCTGGATTCCCAGTTTATTTTATGTCTCTTTCCCTGCTGCTTGATGTGATGCAATCTCGATTTCTTAAGACTACATATCCCATCATGCATTGCTTCCAGAATGCAATGATGATGTTACATTGCTCAGATGTTGAGTTGTAGTCCGGAAGGCAGGCTTTGTTAGCGTTGTGTCACAAGGCTGAGTGAAATTGTGTCAGTGCATTGAGGAAGTACATGCTATGGGCATCTTCAATAAATAAGTTTACTATCTTTGCAAAGTGAAATAGCCAATAGGAATCTAGCTATGTATTCCTAGGGTGTTTTTTTTTATTCTGAG